AATGATGTCATCAGTGCAGTCAGAAAACTTTGTATTGATTTCACTGTCAAATTAGGAGAAGAGATTCAGCAAAAACTTCCATCTAATTACATAATTCTGGAGAAAATGTGTCTATTGAGTGTGGCCAGGGCAAAGATAACAAAATAGCAGATCTTGCGGAACATGGATTTGATTAAGAAACAATACACAAACTGTTACAGCAGTGGCATGGTATAAATTATATGAAATGGAATGCTACACATAACATTTCTGGACCGAAGTTCAAAAATATAAGAATGCTGCATTAATAAATACCTTTCGGGACTTATCTGATCTTGCTATATCCGTATTGTCACTACCTCAATCTAATACTGGATTGGACAGTGCATTTAGTGCTAAGAATATCGTGAAAAACAAATTAAGAAATAAAATGGCTGTAAACACTAAATAGCATTCTTTTCATTAGAAATCAGTTGAAGATAATGAAGAAGAACTGTTACAGTTACGAGCTCCCGGCTGATGTAATTACTGCTAATGGAAGCAACTCTAAATACTCTTATAAATCAATAAAGTCTAAACAAAACTGATAACCAATGTCATCAGTCTACATCTGCAATAACAATCAATTAAGATGATGAAGATATACCAGCAGAAGTATTTGATGTTAATTTTTAGCTTTTTCTATGATAAGTTTATTTTCATTATTTTCACAATTAAAATGGTATTTTTATTACCTTATTATATAGGAACGGTGACCTATATGTCTGTGGGACCGGGTGGCTTGAAAAATTCGAATAACTTTTTCCCCCGCCGCCGATTTTTGTCGCGATTTCGAGTAGCTACCTCATTTCCCCTCCCACACCGTCAGTTCACCCGGCAACGTCGGAGCAGGCGTACTTTCCTGAGTTTTGGCGCCAGCCAGGTGCGGTACACCGGGGTCACCGAATATGTAAGTAAAACAGGCCGAATTGAATTATTGAATATTCATTTTTTGCCTGATTTATGTACATTTTTTACTTACCCTTGTTATTTTTTTTATTGTATTATCCTATAATCAGTAAGTTTATTGCATAATTTTATCAAAATATCACAAAATTACTCTATCTTGTTTCAAATATAAACTTTGTTACAGTATGTCGTACGAAAGGGAACAGCATCGTCCAGAATAGCTTCTTCATGAACTGCTTGATGACGACAGACCATCAATGTCTTCAAAAAGTGAAGCTGAAAGTGACATCGAACTGGAGAATCCTTCACCAAACGACATACAGGATTCATACAGCGAAGAGGAGCTAAGTGACCGAGAAGCTTCAGGTAACAGCGCCTTTTATTTAGGAAAGGATAAAAGTACGAAATGGAGCAAAGAACCTCACCACCAATCTGTCCGTACTAGAGGTTTCAATATAATAACTCAGTTACCAGGACCTAAACGAGTTATATTTAGTGAAAAGGACCCTCTTGGAATTTGGAGACACTTCTTTGACGATACTGTAATTAAGATTATTGTCGAATATACCAACCAATACATTGCTTCCGTGAAAGATAATTATGCTAGAGAAACGAATGCAAAACAGACTGATTTCAACGAGGTATATTGCTTGATTGGTTTGCTTCTATTAGCCGGAGTGAAAAAATCGAATCACCTGAATGCTGAAGAGTTGTTTCGAACGGATGGTGGTTCAGTGGAAATATTTCGGCTTTCAATGTCTGCCCAGAGGTTTCAATTTCTTCTACGAACTTTGAGGTTTGATGATAGTGCTACAAGGATACAAAGAAAAGAACTAGACAAAATTTGCCACATTCGAGAGATATTCGAGAAAGGACAATGTTTAAACTCGCCTAAGAACCAACATATATTTGACTATTATCAAAATTCTTATCGTTAATTATGCATTAGATAATATTCATTAGATAGTAACGGACACTTCCGACTTGTGAAATCAAAATAAAAAAGACTTTCGATTTTGAACTTTGTACCTATTTTTTAATACTATTGTACTTCGTGTATGTACTTCCTGTGATTTGGCCAATCGCACAATACCTTCACTCACATATTTCAAAAGTTGTCATAAACTCAAATATATTATGAAAACGTTTATATTTTAAAATTTATCTCAGATTAATATATGCCACAAGGAACTGGGGTACAGTGAAATCGTCTATTTTCATTTAAAATAACAATACTATTGTCATCTCATTGGCAAATCAGCATTGTGCCACGCAAAAAAAGTCAAAAACGTTGACAGATGACAATAAGTCAAAATAGATAGACGTCAGACGTGCTATTGTTTTGGTTTCGTTTGAAAAAATACATTTCTGTAAATGTTTTAGGAATCTAAGTGCACTCTGTAGTTGCTTTGTTATGCGATAAGTTTATATAAATTACGAACAACGGCTTGAACAACGGATACGATGTTTCATAAACATAAAACATAGCCTCAAAATCTCTATGATAATTGCAAATATCTAAGTTTTCAGAAGTGTCCGTCAGGAGTTATTGTTATTACATACAATTATGTGTAATTTGGGACTTATAAAGGTATTTTTTTTCACTGTTGGTTCTTAGGCGAACAATGTATGGACGTAAAAAATTGTCCTTTGTCCAAAATTGTAAGGATAGTTACACTTTATCTGCTTTTGTGACTGTCGATGAAAAGTTGGAAGCTTTTCGCGGAAGGTGCTCATTTAGGCAATACATTCCGAATAAGCCAAATCCATATGGTATCAAAATTCAAGCTCTGTGTGACGCTAAAATGTTTTATACATTCAATATGGAAATATATGCCAGAAAACAGCCAGATGTAGGCCCATACACTCAAGACAATTCTGGCTTGGCTGTGGTTCAAAGATTATGCGAGCCCATTTTCAATACTGGTCGCAACGTCACAACAGACAATTGGTATACCAGTATACCCTTATCTGAAGCATTGCTTGAGAAAGGTCTCACCACAGTCGGAACAATTCGGAAGAATAAGAAAGAAATTCCCCCTGACTTCAACATATTGCATAGTCGAACTGTGAACTCAAATATGTTTGGGTTTCGCGACAATATGGTTTTGATTTCATATGTTCCAAAAGCAAGAAAAAACGTTCTCCTGATTAGCACAATGCACAATGATGCTACAATTGATGCCGAAAGTCAAAAACCAGATATAATTTTGTGTTACAATGACGTGGTAGATCGTTTGTGTGCTAATTACAATTGTGCTTGAGGAACAAGACGCTGGCCTATGGTAGTTTTTTATGCTATGCTCAATATCAGTACCATAAACAGTCAGGTGATACATACAGCTAACAACCAAAATTCCAAAATGAAACGTCGTCAATTAATTGAGAATTTGGCTATGAAATTAATTGAACCCCACATAAGAGAACGACAGATGCACCTGCACCTGCCGCGGTCAATGAGACAAAGACTGTCTGAAATTTTGAAGATAGATGAGGTGCCTGGAACGGCTGGTCCATCACGAAATGGCCGTTGCTTTATATGTGGATGGGAAAAAATAGAAAGACCAAATACACTTGCCACAAGTGCAAGAAACATTTGTGTCTTGAGCACGTAGTGCCTTATTGCAGTATTTGCTTGACTGAAGAATAGGGATTTTCAAAGAATTTTCTTTTGTTATTTTTTGTTGGTAAGATGCCATTTTTTGTTTATTATAAGTAAGTTCCTAGAGTGTAAAAACTGATAAGACTGAATTAATTTTAAAAATATGTTGATTATTGAATTTTCAAAATTTTAAAATAGCTATGTGTAAAAACTAACTAATTTTATAGGGTGAAGTTGTCTAATCATAAGAAAAAGTAAATAAACGAGCCTGTGATTAATGAAATGTTGTTGTTTTAATGTCAAATAATTTATAATTAATAAATAAAATGGTCAGTAAATAAAATATTTTGAAAAATCTTCCATTGAAAACCCCAGTGCGTGGGACCGGGATTACCGAAGATGTAAGTCAAATCGACGTCACCGTTGGCGGGTTAAGGGTTATTTTTAATGACTGTCTAATAGATCTCATTTATATTAATTAAGTAAAAAATATCAGTATCAGATAGTTAGAGTAACATGTTGTTGTTTTTTTTCACTGATGTTTACTATAAAAACTACTAGTTTATATATAAATGTTGATGTTTTTATAAATTTTATTTCGAGTAAATATAAAGCTATCAAATGTTATGATTTTTTATTCCAAAATCTATTTTAATCCGTGTAAAAGGTCAAACATTATGAACAGCAGTAACAACCTCAGTTGCGGCACAACTTGCCCCAGCGAGGGTTCAGTAGTGCCTTACGACCGATGTTTAATAATATAAATCTTAATATTAAACAATGCAAAAAGCACAAAAACTGGGTATAAATTTAAAATCTAGATTAAATTTTACCTAAGATAGACTAGAGCTACTAAGTAGCATTCGTTTTACCCGATTTATCTAGGGATTTGTTCAAATCGGCACTTTTGAGCCTCGTTCTCCACTACTACATAGCAGGGAACACCATCTCGCAAGATATGATACGATAATTCCTGAAGTTTTGACCGGCAGGACGTTTTGACCAAAAAGCAGTCCTTCCAGAAGAACTTCCAGCAGAACTAGCTATCGGGCGATCTATCATTGTATGCTTTTTTTATATGATAAATGTGACAAACGAGCACACAGTCCACCCGATGGTAAGTGGTTGCTGTGCACATAGACATTACATCTATCCTCGATTACTGATTATTGAGGACTAAGATGGAATGCCTCGTTTCCATAAAAAAAGTCTCCGGTTCTCTACACTCACCATACGAAACACAGCAGTGTTAAGCTGCTATTTTACGCTGGTATTATGTGAGAGCATGGTCCTTCCCCGGTTGAGCCGACCCATTCGTGCTACAACTATACTATACTATATGGCTCTACCACGTCAAGCATATATAGTATAAATGTTATGTATATAATGTATAGAAATTATTATTAATGGCTATCATAAACTTTACTAATTGCTCCCATGATCAACCCTCAAGTATTCAAAGAAAAATATCTTATAACTTCTTATATACTCGGAAAAAATAACTTATATCCCCTTCCAGCTGTCTTTCTCCTGGAATTTCTTCTTCGTCCACTAAATGGAACTGTTGCTTGTCTATGTTTGGAAAAAATGTATCGCAGTTAAAAGATTTCTGTATCTCTGTCAGGTATATTTTGCCACAGTTTTCATGTTCCATTGCAGCCTGAAATGCAGAAACAAATATACTGTAACTAAATGATGATTATACACAACCATATTTCTATAAGTTATGATAGCAAGGCAAGCAAGCAATCACCATCATCACAGCCTATTAAGTCCACCCCATAGATTGCCTCATAGGCAAACATTTGCCATACTTGCCAAGCCTGGGAGGAGGGTTAACAACCGCAGTTTTTTTTATTATTTTGACTTGTTTTCAGGTCGACGCTGCTACGGCTACTACTCCCGTGCATGCGCGAAGACATAGAGTAGGACACAATTTTTGTTTGGAATGGCTTCTCTAGTACGTAGTACATATAACTCAATGACATGTACCTTTTCTAGCAACAGCAATACGGAAAATAGGGATGGTCGATGATCATCGATGTCAAGAATAAAAACATCGATGTTGCCACATGTCAAACATCGAAATATCGATGTCAATAAACCCATAATCGATTATTGGGTACTTGCGAATCCGTGAAATCAATATCAACTAAATCTTGCATCTCCTCTAAAATATTTAAAATTTTGAATAATTCAGAATGCTTGTAATATAAAAATATATCATTATGGGGTATCAAATTTAACTGTCTAGTGTCAACTGTAATGTCGCAGTTGTCACTGATTTCGTTTGTTATTAGTGTCGTTGCTGGTTATCTGTTTCTTTATCTGGTTCTACCTATCTAAAATTAAAAGGAAAACTTACGGTGAGATATTTGACCACAATCGGTACATCAGCGCCATCTGAGCAGTTATCTACCGACTTCAAAAAGGAGGAGGTACTAATTCCACTGTATGTTCTTTTTTTAATGTGTTTTAACTCATAACTTTTTTCTGGGTGAACCAATTTCGATGATTCTTTTTTTATTTGAAATTTGGTGCTTCACATGTGGTCCCATATAAATTAGACCCATATAAGTCTGACCAATAGTTTTTGAGTTATCCTTAAGTCAGTTGTACAAAATTTTATTTTTAAATTATTTTCAACAGCTGGCTCAACTCTTTATCAACAAAGAAACAGATTGAAAGGTACTTCTTTGTCAAAATTACTATTTTTTCCATCAATTTGCAAAAATATTGGACAATATAACAAGTGAATTAGATATTTGTGAACTTCTTCCATTTTTTTTAATTACTGTTTTATATTACATTGTTTATTAATTCCTTTTATTTCATTAATTATAAACCATAAACAACATGACAATTTTTTTATTCATTCAATTCTAACCTATTAACTACATGTGCAAAGAAACATCGATAATGGCCAACATAGATGTTTTGAGTAGGATAAACATCGAACATCGATGTCATCATCGATGTTTCTACAACATCGACCATCTCTAACGGAAAATAAGAAGGCAGACATTTTTAATAGGTCATACAATCATACATAGATTAACAATAAGTCATCGCGCGCTCTGCCTAGATACCGCCGGCGCTCATGTAAAATGCGGCAACAAATACTACGCCGAAATCGGCGTACCCGAGCCAGTCGCGTTGCAGGCAACGTGTGAGGTGAACGAACCGAATGTTTTATTAAATTTTGATAATAATCCGAAGTAAAATACCAGTTTACGTATTGAAACTGTGTAAAAATAATACTACAAGAAATAAGAAAGACACTGCAATTACATACTGTCATTAAGTATCATACAATTTCGAAATTTTAACATAAAACAACACGAGCCATAAATAAGTCACAAAATATCAATGACGCTATTCAGTGTTGCCGCGAATGCAAAAATAAAGTTCCCCGTGGCTGAGATTTTTATATGTGAATTTATTGTTACTATATTTTATAATATAATATATTTAATGTTTATTTTTGTAGTATTGCTCAAATGACCTAATATTTATATGTTGTTTTATTAATTGTTATTTTTATTATTAAAACATTATTTCTGTTTCCGTTCCGTGCCCAAAGTGTCAACGGGACTTAAGTTTCCATTATTGTTCCGTCAGTCTCAGCAGGCTGTATTTTATGAACCGTAATATGTAGATACTTGAATACTCACAGAATACCAGCGTCAAATAGCAGCCCAACACTGCTGTGTTTCGTATGGTGTATAGTGTAGAGAACCGGAGACCCTTTTTACTGGAAACGAGGTAATCCATCTTAGTCTTCACGGGTGGCAACACATCTGCATTTTGATTCGCAAACGAGGATAAATGTAGATGTCTATGGGCCACAGCAACCACTTACCATCAGGTGGACTGTGTGCTCGTTTGTCACCCTATACTATAAAAAAAAAAGATACTTGAAATTTTCACAGAATGTGTATTGGCTATTATTGCTATAACAACATATAATAAAAATAAAATCTTGGTTACACCATATAATATACAACGAATTTTTAAATAATTTGTGAATATTAGTCAGACATTTAAATATAAAAATTAAACTGATAAAAATGAGGCCTTATCATTTATATGCCATTTATTCAGAAGAAAAACCTATACATAATATACACAAATATATTGATACATTCGCTATTAATAAATTATTCATTTTTAAGTATTTCTGGTCTACATTCATAACTATGAACTTAACTACTAAGTCATAGCATAAAATAATTTTACCCGTTAATTGGGAAATAGTTAAGCTGCTGGCATATACAATTTTTCACGCACACTAGCATCCTTGCAATTGTCTTATACACACTAGAATATTGAGGTTCCGCATTAACCGAGCTGTTTCTTTCAGGTAGCGCGGTATCTAGTCAGAGCGCGATATGACCTATCTAATTTGTTGTGATTCTAATTTGTTGTGTTGTTAATTTGTGTAACATACATGATTGTAAGCTGTTATTTAAAAAAAATCCCGCTGGGTTTCTTGCTGGTTCTTCCCAGGACAGAGGTTTTTTTTCGAACCAGTGGTAATTATACAAGAGTGACTTTCAATAAGTATTATTTATAATCTATATTGAATAAAAAAAAGTTTCTGTTCTATTAATCTATGAGGTCATACTTAATAAACTCTTTTAATCTTGCATATTTTAAAGAAGACTTATTATTATAATAACTCCAAACCAATGTCAGAATTATTAAGATATGAACAGAATTATTAAGTTTTTATTATATAGGTAATAATTAGTTTTCTAAATGCTCACAGAATTGGTTATACATACTTGAGATAAAAAGATTATGCTTATGTAAATAATCACAATATTGCTAAATAGGAAGTATTCTAATAGTTACATGAAAACTTGACATTAAATATAACTAATTTTACTTTTTTTTTTTATAAAACGTTACCCCCGCACTAGGATTTTCTCCTGTATCGTGGAGGCAGTTTACAAACACAAATTGCATAAGGACAATCATTCAGACTCGGAACAATTATTTGTAGGCCATTCAAATACTTGTCTGTGCGGGATTCGAACATTGCTAAGCCACTGCGCCACGGAGCCGTCAACTTATTTTATCGCATTTAATTTAATTTAAATTCTTGCGGTTTTGGGTGCTTCATACCACCCATTGTCACTGAGGTGTTTGACGTCTCTAATTGGGGCCAAGTTAAATAAGTTAAAATAAGTAAAATTAGTTTCATGCAATATTAAATGGAAAGTTTTTAGTGCTAGCAGGCCGATACATTCCCACACCTATTTTTTTCTTTATTATAACTATATTTATACATTTTTTCAATATTTAAGCAAGGTCAAACACATTTTAGTTACGTGGTGTCACTGTAAAAAAATCCGTTACCTCACTTCTTCCCATGGGCGTCCTAAGAGACAACTATGGAAGATATCAACATATGACATAAGATAGATGGGACATAACCTGTTTACGCTAGATGTAAAATACCCAGATGAGTGCCGCTGAACACCACCACACGTTCGAGATGTCTTCTTTTTTATGAAACGGAAGTGGCAAACAAACTTACAGATCACCTGATGGTAAGTGGCTACTGCAGTCCATGAACACCTCCAGCCAACTTTAAACAAAAAGGAGGCTACGGATGTTGTCACCACTGTTCACTAAGATGGAATGACACATAGTCTGTCATTATACTGGCTCTGTATATCCTTCAAACTGGCTGGTTTGGTGCTGCAATTGCCAAATAGCCTACCAAGTAAGCGGATTAGGGTACATCATTCCTAAAACGGGAGAGGGTCATGTCCAACAGTGGACTTTTATGGGCTGTTGATAATGATGATGACGATGAAATAAATTTTTAAGATTCGATAAACAACTAAAATAACTATAGATTTGAAACCAGAACACAGGCTTATATCAGTTTTTTCCAATGCTGGCTTGCTAAATAATAATAATAAAATAAAACAAAATATACCTTGTAGATGGCCGATCCACCAATAACCCAAGTGGATTCTATGTCCTCTCTTCCTTCAATGTATCTGATTGCTTCATCTAAGCTTGGGACCACCACTACACCATCAGGAACCTTGAAACACGAACATGGTTACACTACTGCTAAGGAAAAGCAAATACTGTTGAAACCTACCCAAATGGACTTCTAGGCAGATGAGAACCCCTACCACATTAAATATTCACAAGATGTACCATATAAATAAATAATATTATATATAAAATATATGCTGTGGTAGCTCAGATGGTTAGCGCTCGCTGTAAGCTTCACAGTACTCGAGCAACTCGGGTTCGATCCCAACCGGCACCACTGAAATTGTTAATTGCAATTTTAAGTGCTGATTTACCACGTGCTCGGCGGTGAAGGAAAACATGGTGAGGAAACCTGCATGTCTGAGAAATAAGAAAAAAAATATTTCGAAGACGTGAAGTTCGCCAACACACATTGGGGCAGCGCGGCGGACATTTCCTTGCCCTAAAACCCTCTCAGAAATGAGAGGAGGCCTGTGCCCAGCAGTGCGTCGTAAATAGGCTGCAACTTTATTTATACAAATACAACAAATACAAACACTCACGCCTGTCACCCAGAGGGGTAGGCAGAGACTACGGACTTCCATTTGGCGCGATCCTGACACACCTCTCTCGCCTCCTTTACATCCATATATTTACGCATACACGCTCGTTGGTTAAGGGTACTCTTGCCACTTAATTTACTCATCATCATCATCATCATCATTACAGCCCTTCACAAGTCCACTGCTGAACATAGGCCTCCCCCAAAGAATGCCACAAAACACGGTCCTGAGCCACCTGCATCCATCGACTTCCTGCATGTCTTACCAGGTCGTCACTCCATCTCGTGGGGGGACGCCCTACACTTCGCCTACCGGTACGAGGCTGCCACTCGAGAACCTTTCTTCCCCATCGGTTGTCGGTTCTTCGAGCTATATAGCCGGCCCACTGCCACTTCAGCTTACTAATCCGTTGGGCTATGTCGGTCACTCTGGTTCTACTGCGGATATCCTCATTCCTAAGTTTATCACGCAGAGAAACTCCGAGCATAGCCCTCTCCATAGCTCGCTGAGCAACCTTGAGCTTCCTCATACGGCCAGCAGTGAAGGACCACGTCTCAGTTCCGTAAGTCATCACTGGCAACACGCACTGGTTGTACAATTTTGTTTTAAGGTTTTGAGGTATGTCTGACGAGAAGATGTGTCGTAGCTTCCCGAACGCTGCCCAGCCGAGTTGAATCCGTCGATTGCCCTCTCGGTCGAAGTTGGACTTACCCAGTCGGACTATTTGTCCCAGGTAAACATACTCGTCAACAACTTCGAGCTTAGTGTTCCCAACAACTACCGGCATAGGTGTGACATGGACATTAAACATGATCTTAGTTTTGTCCATGTTCATCTTAAGACCTATCCGTTGGGAAACACTATTGAGGTCATTGAGCATAGTGCTTAGGTCCTCCAGCGATTCTGCCATAAGGACTATATCGTCGGCAAATCGAAGGTGAGTGATGTACTCGCCATTGATGTTGATACCGTATCCTTTCCAGTCCAGAAGCTTGAAAGCGTCTTCCAATGCAGCGGTGAAGAGTTTCGGGGATATGACGTCACCCTGTCTTACACCTCTCTGCAATTGGATAGGTTTCGTACTCTGGTTCTGTACTCGGATAGCCATCGTAGCCCTACTGTACAAGCACTTCAACACTTCGATATACCGACAGTCAACTTGGCACCGCTGAAGGGACTGCAGCACCGCCCAAATTTCGACGGAATCAAAGGCTTTCTCATAGTCCACATACGCCAGACATAGTGGCAAATTGTACTCTTCGGACTTCTGTACAACTTGCCGAAGGGTATGTATGTAGTCTATGGTGCTAAAGCCCTTTCGGAAACCGGCTTGTTCGGGAGGCTGGAAGTCGTCAAGTCTGCGCGCGAGACGATTCGTAATGACTCTCGAAAACAGCACGTAGACGCGGCTCAGAAGGGAAATCGGTCTGTAGTTCTTCAAGAGAGCGTTGTCACCTTTCTTGAAGAACAAGACCACCGCACTTCTGCTCCACGCCTCCGGTGTAATACCACCATGGAGGACGGAATTAAAGAGCTTCTGAAGGACTTCAAGTACCGGTCTTCCACCCGCTTTCAGAAGCTCCGCTGTAATTCCATCCTCGCCTGGGGCCTTACCGTTTTTAAGGTGCTGGAGAGCCATCCTAATCTCGCTCAGACTGACATCCGGGATATCTTCGGAATAGTGTCGGATGAGACTCGCTCTTGGATCGTTACTCACACTTGCGTGTGGCTCCAACGATGATGTGTACAGCTGCCCATAGAACCTCTCAATCTCACTCAAAATCTCAGGTGTCCCGGAAACGATGCTGCCACATTCTGTCTTCAGCTTTGACAGTTGGCTCTTTCTGGCAGACAGATCTCTGGCAAAGACTTTGGAGCCTTGGTTCCGCTCGATCGCTTCTTCAATACGAGCTGTATTGAAGTTGCGTAAGTCCCGCCGCATGCATTTGGAGATCTGTCTGTTCAGATGCCTGTATGCTGTCAAGTCTGTTGAAGAATGTAGCTTCATCTCCCGTCTAACAGCCATGAGATTAAGAGTGTGATCGGAGAGTTTTTGTGTTCTTCTGCGGCCGGTCTTGTAGAACTTAGCTCCAACCGCATGGACAGTTTCCACGAGCTTGTCATTCATATCGTCCACTTCATTGCAGTCTTCCAGGCACTGAAAACGGTTTTGTAACTCGAGCTGAAAGGTTTCGGGACTTTGGAACAGAGCACGAGGGGGACGGAGCGTTGACTTCATTAGACGAGACCTCTCCAACTTAACGTTTAGGTTCAGTGTGCCTCTAACCATTCGGTGATCGCTACCAGTTTTCACCCTCGCGATCACGGAGACATCACTGAACAGTTGTCGTCTGGTCGTCATAATGAAGTCAATCTCATTTTTTGTGGAACCGTCGGGGCTCGACCAGGTCCACTTCCTGTGGGGCCGCTTCTGGAAGAAAGAGTTCATCATAAAGAGTCCCTCTTTCTCCATGAAGTCGGCCAGCTGCTGGCCTCTTGGGTTCCGTTGCCCTATTCCAAATTTCCCTACTTTCAGCTCACCGTTCTCTCTTGTGCCTAGTTTTGCATTGAAGTCTCCCATTAACACCGTATATTGGGTTTTGGAGGAATGCATGGCTCTAGAGATATCCTCATACATTTCCTCCACCTCCTCATCGGGGTGTGCCGAGGTTGGTGCGTAAACCTGTATGACCTTCAGCGAATACCGTTTGGTGATTCTGAGTATAAGGTACGCAACCCTCGTCGACACACTCCCGATTTTTACAACGTTGTTAACGAGAGACTTGTGGACGATAAATCCGACACCTCCTTGGGACAGATGGTCGCCCTCCCGGTGATAGAGCAAGTTGCCGGATTCGAGGATTACCGTGTCCTCCCCCTCTCTTCGGACTTCGGATAATCCTATAATATGCCAGCGCAACTTGTCTATCTCTTCTTCCAGCTCCACGATCTTCTCGTCAGTCCTCAGGGTGCGTGCGTTGTACGTTGCCAGGTCGAGTCGTCTAAGGTGGCAACCGAACCTCCACCGGAGATTCTTAGCACCCCCTGCCCCGCCGTTACCATGGTCGCCACCGTAGCCAGGAATAGCGGGGCCGCCGGGGACTGGCGGCCGTTTTTTTGTTGTTCTCATCATTGGGGGGTATTTGCCATAGTTGCCACGCTTGGCGAGCGGGTTGGCAACCGCAGTTTTTTATTGTAATTTGGCTATTATCAGGAAGATGCTGCTGCCCATCTCCTGGCTGTTTCCCTTTGTCGCCTTTTACGACACCCACGGGAGGATATGGGGTAGTGGATATTCTTGACCGCCACTACACGGCACTTACTTAATTTACTATATAAAATAAATTATATATACAGGATTATTTTGCAATAACCGGCCAAATTTGCAGAGAAGGTTCATAATAAGTAATATAGGCAAATGGAGAAGAAAAATTAATTAAAAAAATTTCAATAATTCTGTCTTTTTTGTATTTTACAATCAAATGCGTGGTAATGCACTATATTACTGCGCACGCACACCTTCGTAAGGGTCGATTGGTAGGCAAAAACATTGTTGCCCATAAATTACATTCAGCTTGGGATAATTTGAAATAAAAGTAGAAGCCTTATTTATTTGTGTTTTCAAAACTGCAATAACGGTATATCATTATTCACATATTTGAATTTAATTTTAAAATTTGGCTACTTTTTGACAAATAACCCTGTACGTACATATTGGGGTGGATATACTACTATACAGGGTTATTTCGCAATAACCGTCCAAATTTTCAGAGAAGGTTCAGAATAAGTAATATAAGCAAATTGTGAAGCAAAATGAATGAAAAAAAAAAAACATCCTGTCCTTTTTATCTTTTATACATCATCGATCGGTAGGCAAAAACGTTGTTGACATTTTTTTTGGTAAACATACCATATATTGCAATGAATTACTAATAATCCGCATACTATATTAGATCAGACTAAAAATTAATATTCAAAAACTGAAGGTAGCCGGACTATAACAGCGGGACGTCTAACACCTCAGTCCACCAGTGACCATGGTGCTGTAAAGCACCTGAAATGTTGGGAATTAAAATTTTTAATTAAACACGATAAAATCCGTAAAAATTAGTTTCATTTAATGTGTAGTGTTTGTGTAAATATAAGTAATTATTATGGGGTCAGTAGCCGGTCTGTTATACATTTTATTTCTTCATACATATTAATAATAGTTAGTATTTCAATTGTTGTTTTAATGCAAATTATTATTTTTAAATTAAGACCAACATCATTTTTATGGCATTAGCACAAGCTGGCACAAGATTTGAATTATTTTGAGATTTGGTTATGCTGCCACTAAAAACCATTTCAATAATTGATAACAAAATAATTAATTGTGACAACTGCTATACATTAATACAAACTAAAACTACAACTATGAGTAATCACTCATTACAGGTTATAAAAAGGAAAACCAAAAAGTAAAAATTTTGTATATTGGATCTGGGACCAAACTATAGTGCCCGGTTTATCAACTGAGCTGTCGGGGCCATTAATGTCAATAACAATAGGAATGTGTCACTGCTGTGTGCCACTCGCTACCTGAGTCCGCAGGACTTTATCCTTGTATCTTTTCTTATCACGGTGGACAAAGCTAACCTCATTAAATTTTTCATTACTTGTTTATGTTTAGTGAAGTAACAAGGTAAGCACCTCTGTACATTTTTTTCATTTCTATTTCTCACTTCAATCTTGACAGTTGTGCAATTGAAAATTTTTAATTTCAATCTTTTAATTTCAACAAATTAAAAGGTTTTTTTATTTAACTTGCAAACTCGAATAGTTATTCATAATATATTTTTGTGTTTAAATGAATTGAAAAGTGATCCCGTCATCTGATTTATTTGTGGCGTGTGGATAGTTAAAAATTTATTTGGATGAAGAAGATAATTTGTAATATAGGTAATAACATATTTATAAATGTAGATTGCATTTTGTTTATTTTATTGTTATTTTATAATTTCAAACCTTAAAAGATCTATTTATTAAATCTTATCAATATCGACTACCTGCTCTTAAGCACATCATTATGACACTTCATAAGCCCAATGAGTGCAAGCGAGATAGACTGATTACAATGATTTATTGACTGACGACTCCATTGATAATACTGGCACTATAATATATCCATCAATATATTAGTCTGAAATTAAAGAGAACTTAAGAAATGATAAATTACCTTTGCTTTTACATCGTCCACATGATGTGTCAGAACTATATTAACCCTATTATGCAATGGTCGATATTTATTAGGAATGCAATCCCATGTTATGCGGCCCATTATTACAGCATTAATCTTGTTATTGTCTTTAACTTTTGTTGTCATTGTTGTGAAGTATGTCATCTCCTTTCTGTAAAAATTACAGGAAAATTAAATCCTTTAATGTTTAAATTTAATAAATCTGTAGGTAGATTTTGAATATGGTGAAAAACACAAAATTTTAAGTGCTGCTTTACCACATGCTCAGTATAAAAGAAACATCCTAACGAAATCTACATATCTGATTAAAAAAAATTAAAGACATAATATGAAGTCTGTCACACCAATTGGGCAGCATGGGCAGCCTAGCTGAGTACCATATATAAAGGGTAACTTAACTTTTTACAATATTTAATTTGTTTAAAATTATACTTAACCATTTTTTTTTTCACTTATATTTTTTATTTAATTTACCTTTAGTAATAAAACAATACTTACATATAATCTTTATTTTGTTTTATTCAAACTGAAGAATAAAATTATCAAATATTTCAAGCAGCATTGTATCAAGAATTACAGAAATATTTTAATATACAGAACCTGTCAGAGAAAACCAGTCCCAGTGTTATCAGTGGAAAATCAATTTCAAATAAAATTGGAACAGAAATTTGTAAAGATGGAACAAATGGTGCAAATATGGCCTTTGATCATTAAGTGATGTTAATTTTTTTAATTTTAAATTAAAATAATTAATAAATGAACATCACTTTCTATACAAAGTTTTAATTACAGACAGACTATGATGAGAGCACATTATAATATTAACGCACTCCAAATACTTTACTTATTGGGGGATACCAAAGTTCGCAGCTTTGCATTTTGCACATTGTTGAAAAGTAAAGTAAAATTATAAGAGCAGCTATTTAAGTGTTTGTTTTAAAATAATGTCCTTACTTTAGCTTCCAAGGTAATGTTCCATTTATACCAATCCCCATATTTTCACAGGCTGCAGCTATCAGATTTAATTTTACCTTTGACATTTTTTGTATAGAATTTAATTTATAAATGATAAAATAAATAATATCACCAGCTCAAACTTGAACACAACGAATCCTATGACATCAAAATTCAATTCAATAAGTCAAACAGGCATGCGTTTTGTATTCTGTCATTTTGTGGGCATGTGCACAGAATACTTTACTCCTAGGGCATGTGGATCTGACATTTAGAGTAAAATAATCGATTTTTCAGATCCATTTGGAATTACATCGATTCACGAAATCGATCCAAAAACCTCTTAAATCGGACTGATTCAAGTACTAGCGATAGTTTCATAGTATCAAACAAGCACAAAGTGCACCTGATGATAAGTGGATGCTGTGGCCCATAGACATCTTTATTTGTCCTCAATTAAGAATCAAAATGCACATGCATTGTCACCGTTGAGATGTTACCGATATTTTAATGCTTGATTAAATCAAGAATCGATTTTAGTATGTTCGATTTGAAAAGAATAGGAGGAATAGGAGATCGATTTTTTTTAAGAGAATCGACATGTCTAATTTTTTTATTAAGATTTTTGGCTTGGATGCTTGTCATTAAGTAATGTCACAGTACACTGCTTCACAATATGTTGATGCGTCACATTGCGTAATTTTGACGGCAACTTGAGCCAGTAGACAATTGGCGATAGTATCTCAATGCACCTAAGCCATCGGAGCACTTGTTTCACCATTTAAACTCGTTCACATGCACAGACATTTAATACACAAAATCGCACCACTTTTACATATCAAAATCCATTTCAAACCATTATTTAAACAATAATACACGAGCAGCAATCCGCCGCCGGTAAGTTCCCGCCAAAACCACAGATTATTATAGTATAACGCGTGAGTGTCTCTTGTTAGTTTGTAATAATATACTAGTCTACGACCAGAACTTCTCGATCCTCGACATGCCTCATACCTCGTTTAGACTCTCGCCTCGCGGCTCGCCTCGTACCTCGCCTCGCAGCTCGCGTGTTATTGTGAGGTAACGAGTGCCTGTTTACACTCTCGCGATGCGGTCAGTTTGCGTTGAGCCAGCAACGATGAATGACGTCGAAATAATAGCGGCATCAACTCTTGCCTTAATAAGTATTTATCGATGTTTCACCATTTTAAAAAGATGGAAATTAATAAAAATACCTCGTTGAGGAAGAATATGACGGATGATATCTATTCATCGAAACAGAACCTTTTCAGTTTCATAATTTTATATAAATTGCGAGTACCTATTAAGATTAAATAATATTTTTATATTTTTTAATATTTTAATATTTTTATTATTTTATATATAGCAAGATTGAATAATATTATTTTATTAAAATTGTATTTTAAACCAAAAGCAATTCGAATGTTATTATGGAAGGGCGCCGTAAACAAACTGAAACGAGACGCGAGTGTAAACAGCACGCTCGCGTCCCTCACGAGGCCCTTTGCCTCGTGCCCAAAAAACCGCCTCCGACGCGAGCGCCGCGAGTGGCGAGGCGAGCTGCGAGGCGAGCCACGAGCTAGCGTTTACACTCGCGCCTCGTGGCTCGCCTCGCGACTCGCCTCGTCGCTCGCGCGAGAGTGTAAATGGGGTATCAGAATCTAAAGCACAGAGTACAGAGTAACTAAGCGATAATTTCTCTTTGGCACCGATATCGGTATGCAGTGTAGTAAGTTTTAGTATAAACTATAAATTCTTTGGCACTAGCTTGCTTATCTATGTTTGGCACAGATTAGCGCTCAGAACAATAAATAAAGCACGGAAATTGGCAATGACTTAGAAGTATATGGACTGGGCATACCAAAAGAATTAGCGTGACTACCTAATCAAATCTGGCGCATAAAACGGCCGCCTTTTATAGGGTTGTAACTCAGCTAAATGGGCAGCTGATATCGATATTTTACTTTGTTCTTATTTCATATAATTATAGAAATTAAATCCATAGTCTAATTGCGTAACACACCTAAAATGGTAAACCATACCAATTTGACAGTTTAACACCATCCATTGCGTGGTTTTTGTTGTCGAGCAAATGAATTTTTCAATCACATGAAGCAATGGATATTGTTGGGTTGTTAATAGTTTTGGATTGCTATCCCTTAAATTTCGCGTGAGTTGCTTCACGAGGCTTCACCGCATATATACACTTACGCAATGCACATTCTGCTATAGATTTTTTGTGTTAGGTACACAGTCAAACAATGAGTTAAGTATGCAGGCAACTTGCAACTTGTTTTAAACAATGTTCTGAGTATACTAAGTGCTTACTCAAGTTTTGAAGTTATACTTCTTTTGGCGCGTTTGACAAAAATGATGGGAGTGAATTTTTTACAACTTCTATTGGTAATTGTCTGTCAATTGTTAGGTTTTCTTGAGAACTGATAACTATATTCGAGGTAGTTATCAAATATATATGAATGTATAAAACGTGTTTTATTTTAGTTATTTTTGTTTTGTTACGCTCAAGAAGTATAACTTCTTACGTGCTTACATAAATTAATATTAATAAGTACACACACACGATGTGTTTTATATCAATGTGAACAAAGTTAAAAAGTTATAACACAAACAATAAAAATGAATATTGTCAGAGTAGTAGGAAAAGGGATATTTTTGCTTGTATACCAAATACCTTTGTTTACTGTATAATTATATTGTACAGTAAAGAAATGTATGGAGATAGAATGGAGATCCTTGATTCCATATTGTAATCCCATATTATAGTATTTTAAATATAAAACAATAATGATTATTTGAGTAAAAATTAAATAAACTGTTTTTAAAATCAATACTTATTTATTATTAATTGGTATATAGGAACGTTCTACACATAATTGATCACAAATGGTAAGTTGTATAAGCATGTTCGATCCTGCCGCATATCATATTTAATTTTTTTTATTCAGATTTTAAATGAAAAATATTATTATTTTCGCAGGTACATTAATTTTGTTCATTTAAAATTCGAAAATCTGGCATGATCATGAAATGGTGGATGAAATATGATATCCAGGATTTATAAATTATTACTAATATTATATATTCATTTCTGAACAAAATTAATTTATTAAAATAATTTCTATCGACACCATGGATAAGAGTGTACGACACTATTATACTGCTTTTTTGACAGTTTGACAGCAGATCTACCTAAAAATTTGGCGCTTAACATGGCGGCACAGTCACGCAACATGAAGTTATAGATAAAATAACCTCATGTCACGCAAGGATGAGCTAATGAAGTCACACTAAAGTATTACCAAAATAAGCACTTTACAAACTATAGATGTCTCTCTTTTCTATTGCAGTTACTGCTTTGTTAAAAAGAGAAAAAACTGTTTTTGACAAGTGTGTGCCGATATTATAGATATTTGTACTATAAATATTATTTCTATAGTGGAATATGCCCTGTCCAATGGAAATTGGACTAAAATAGCGACAGAATGTATTGCCTTTTCATTGCATTTTCTTTACTCAAGTGGCATTTGAGCATCCTAATTTTAGTAATGAACCTGGATGTGTAGTAAATATTGATATGTTATTTTAAAGTTACAAAATGAGAAGCTTTTTTACTTCTTATTGATTTAGGCACTTCGTCCATTTTTGATGTGTCGGTACCAGTAATAACTTAAAATAATATAATAACAACTATACAACTACACACACACACGTTGGTCAGTTGCTTTTGTTTCTTTGTATGTCGGCTTAATTTAAAATACTTTTTTATATTGGTATGCATGTATGTTAAGCATTTTTTACTTTGTTACGATAATTTTTAATGATACCTATACTTATATTCAGTCACTATGTATGATTATGATCAATTGCCAAATAATCGCTAAATTCTTTATTGAAATAATCATTAGGAGTGCTATTCGCTACATAACATTACATTTTTTTATTCCTAATTATATTATCTTCTCACCCCGTGTAGTGGCGGGTAAGAATACCCACTATCCCATATCTTCCCGTGGGTGTCGTAAAATCCCGCTATTCCTGGCTTCGGCTATCTCTAGAGCTATGCATTCCTCCAAAACCCACTATACGGTGTTAATGGGAGACTTTAACGCAAAACTGGGCACAAGAGAGAACGGTGAGCTGAAAGTAGGGAAATTTGGATTAGGATAACGGAACCCAAAAGGTCAGCAACTGGCTGACTTTATGGAGAAAGAGGAACTCTTTATAATGAACTCTTTCTTACAGAAGCGGCCCCACAGGAAGTGGACCTGGTCGAGCCCCGACGGTTCGACAAAAAATGAGATTGACTTCATTATGACGACCAGACGACAACTGTTCAGTGATGTGTCCGTGATCGCGAGGGTGAAAACTGGTAGCGATCACCGAATGGTTAGAGGCACACTGAACCTAAACGTTAAGTTGGAGAGGGGTCGTCTAATGAAGTCAACGCTCCGTCCCCATCGTGCTCTAATTTAAAGTCCCGAAACCTTTCAGCTCGAGTTACAAAATCGTTTCCAGTGCCTAAAAGATTGCAATATAGTGGACGATATGAATGATAAGCTCGTGGAAACTGTCCAAGTGGTCGGAGCTAAGTTTTGCAAGACCCACCGCAGAAGAACACAAAAACTCTCCGATCACACTCTTAATCTCATGGCTGTTAGACGGGCAATGAAGTGCAGTCTTCAGAAGATTTGATAGCATACAGACAACTGAACAGATAGATCTGCAAATACATGCGACGGGACTTACGCAACTTTAATACTGTCGTATTGAATACTATATGTATACTCTTGTATTGAGGAAAGCGATCGAGCGGAACAAGAGCTCCAAAGTCTTTGCTAGAGATATGTGTGCCAGAAAATGCTGAAAATGTCGAAGCTGAACACCGAATGTGGCAGCATCGTTTCCGAGACACCTGAGATTTTGAGTGAGATTGAGAGGTTCTGTGGGCAGCTGTACACATAATCGTTGGAGCCACACGCAAGTTTGAGTAACGATCCAAGAGCAAGTCTTATACTACGATATTCTGATGATATCCCGGACGTCA